CATAGTGAATAAAATACAAGTGAACATCTATCTACCTGGTATTATCTTCCTTCAGCCGGGATTTATCTGCTGTCAGCAAGGAAAGCTGCTGTTCTATATTCTACGGCAGCTCCCTGCCGATGGACTGCTGCAACCATTGTTGGACTATCTTCAGCAGCATTTTTCTTACATGTGCTATCAATGATATTATTTTATCATTTTAGCATGCTATTGGGTCACCTTTCTTTGGAATGGGTACAATATAGATCTCTTCCAGTGTGTTGGCCAAGTAACTATCTTCTAAGTTTCCTGGCACAAACAAGTAGCAATCTCACAACTGGATCGATAGGTAAAAATGGAGGAAATAACTGAAGCTGTCAAGTTTTCATCTTGCTTGAATCTACAATCATGGAAGCAGCAGTCAAGAGATCAAATGATACTTTGCATTGGTTAAATCTGGTGCACAAGACCTCTTTAGAGTATTGAACAGCAAGGATGTTACTTTGAGGACTATGGTGCACTTGACCCAAACAATGACATTTTTCAATTGCCTCATATGCATGTGAAAGTTAGACATTGAATAAAGAATCCTGAAGTAGAATTTATGTATTTGAATCGTGATGCTGGTGAAGAATATTGAAAGTACCATGGATTGCCAAAAGGAGATACAAATCTGTCTTAGAAGAAGACACATATGGCTACAGTGCTCTTAGAGGCAAGGATGGCAAGACTTTCTCACGTATTTTGGACATGCTTTCAGGAGAGACTAGTTCCCGGAGGAAGAAGAACATCATGCTTGGTAAAGGGCCAGCGAAAGAGAGGGGACCCTATGAGATGGATTGGCACAGTGGCTGCAACAATGTGCTCAAGCATAGAAAAACTTGTGAGGATGGCCCCAGACCAATCAGTGTTTCCTTCTGTTGCACATAGGGTCACTATGGGCCAGAACTGGCTCAACGGTACCTAACAACACTAACAACATGATGGGTGAAACTGTTTCTCTTTGGTACATTGTGTGATGTTAGCTGGTATTAATGATTTTATGGGCTTTATACAGCCCATGAGCCAGGTCTTTCCCAGCCCTGCTCTAGAAGAAAGATGTCCTGTATCCCAGCATTCCCATCAGAATACCATGGTTATCAGTGCTAGATGAAACCTGTATCTTGGGGCGTATTCAGTAGCACACTTCTCATAAGTACCAGAAGCCAGGTTCTCTGATGAAATTACAGAGTCTTTTTTTTGTTTGTTTTTTTAAATTACAGAGTCTTAAGGTATGCACAAGGAGCCATCGTGGTATCGTGATTATATGTTGGGCTGCCATCTGCATAGTGGGCAGTTTGTAACCACCAGCAAGAACTCTACAGGAGTAAAGAGTCTCAGAAATCCACAGGGGGTCCCTAGGAGTCAGCATTGACTTGATGGCAGTGAGTTTGGTTTAACCCAGTGGTTTAACACTCAGCTGCTTACCAAAATGTCCATCGTTTGAACCTCCCAGTGGCCCCATAGAGGAAAGATGCAGCAATCTGTCTTAATAAAGATTATATCCTCAGATACCCTGTGAGACAGTTCTACTGTGTCCTAGGGGGTCTTTTTGAGGCAGAATTGACTTAATGGCAATAGGTTTTTGTTGTTGTTGTTATTTTGTTAACAGGTCTAAGGTTTACACTATAAGAATGACACAGAATTTTCTGTTATTGTGTGACCCAATATTTGAAACTTCCTATTATGCTGTTATTTCCAGCAACATGATCATATTTCCTTAGGGCTTTTTCGAAGTACTTTATGAAAATGTTATGGGAAGAACAACGTATGTGCAGGCAACCCCCACTGAAACAATGGCTTCCTAAACACAGTATCTACTGATATACTAATTCTGGATTCCTGATGATGTGGTGTTTATGCATTTTGCTGCTTACCAGAAGGTCATAGTTTGAAAACATCAGCTGCTCCAATGGAAAAAGATGAGACTTTTTATTCATGTAAAGAGTTACAATCCAGGAAGCCAACAGGGCAGTTCTACCCTGTTCTATAGGGTCACTGGGAATGGGAATCAACTCAATGCTAGTGAGTGATTCTAATTATACTTAGGCAGAATAAGGTACTGTAGTTATAAGTACCTGAGAAGAATAGGCACCAATAAGGTAGTTGAGAAGTGAAAATATTATTTGAGTGGGGGTTGCCCACTCTGTATGAATAATAAAGACAAAAGAAGACTCAGTGCATTTAAATTATGGTGCTGAAGAATATTGAAAGTACCATGAGGTTCCAAAAGAATAACAACACAAGTCTGGGAAGAAGTACAGCCAGAATGCTCCTTAGAAGCAAAGATGGTGAGACTTCATCTCACAGACTTTGGACATATTGTCAGGAAAGAGAAATTCCAGGAGAAGGACATCATGCTTGCTAAAGTAGCAAGGAAGATCCTTGACAAGATGGATTGATACTGCGGTTTCAGCAATGGGCTCAAACAAGGACAATTGTGAAGATGGCACAGGACCAGACAGTGTTTCATTCTATTGGATTCAACTCAATGGCACCTAACAGAAACAACACCTTTCGCTAAGCCAATTAGGAAAGGCATCTCTACAGATGTGGCACTGGAGCTAAGAGCGAGCAGGTGTGGAGAAGTGGCCCGTGGGAGAGCTGGGAAAAGAATGTCCAAGGCAAAGAAGAAAAGTAAGCATAATGGACATGAGCTAGGGAGAAGCTTAGCATGGCAGGTAAGAAGCAAAAAGTTGAGTGCCACAGAAAACTTAGTACAGCATGCAACAGCCCTACAAATGGGTCCAGAGGGGTTGGAATTTGATTTTTTTTGAGGGGGGGAGTCATAGGGAAAAATCCACTCAAAGAGGAAGCATTAGAAACATATTTCCAGTACATCCCTTTGTCAGAAACTGAAAGAACCCTACTGAGATATTCTCCGTATGCTGAAACTTTGGTTTTCATCATTTATTCCTCCAAATAACCCCTTCAAAAGCTTCCTACCTCGCTGGACTCCAGTGACATGCCCCAAATAAATGGAGCATGTCAGACAGAAGGTGATGGACTTGCAACAGTGAGAGGGCAAGGATGCAAGCGATAAGTGACCACATGAGCCTCCACCTAGAAAGTTGAGAATACCTTCTAAGAAGTTACAAATTTCTACTAAGAAATCGGTACACTCTGCTCAATAAGCCGCCCATGAAAAAGGTTGACAAGCTGTAACATGAGCTCAGCACCTTACCAACTCCCCATTTTTCAAGTCTCAATTAAATGAAACAATGAAAGGGATTGGATAGCTTAATAATTTGTATGAAAATTCAAACGGAAGCCAAGCATTATTATCACCTAAGATAACAAAAAAGAGCAAGCTTATAGTGTAGATGAGATCTGACCACTCTTTTACTTCTCTCTTGTCTCTGCCAATCAAATATTACTATCAACACCATTTCTCTTTCTAATTACTCAAAATACTCTAATTACACACATCTACAGACACACACAGACTTACAGCTTCGCAGACAAACAAGAATGCCAGTCCAAATACATCTTGACTTTGACACCTTATTGTTTTCTCTAGCTATCTCTGAAGATGACAAGCAGAACCATGTGGATCTGTGACATCCCGCTGCCTTTTCGCCTTCAGTAAATGAGGTTAGAAAAAGATATTAATAAGAATATAGTCAGAAATGTCAATAAGGGGATAAATCAAAGCAACATGACTTGCTCTGATGACAAAGTTATTTCACCCAAGATCGGTTGAGACACACTACATTAGGCAGAATTCACTGCATAATTTGTGGGATTTGTGAAAAATGAAAAATCCATCTCCCATGTTTGGATGTATTAAGAATTCCAAGACAGAAACCACACAGCATTAAATCAAACCGCTGTCTTTTCTGATAAAGGGACCCTGTTCTACTTCACAGGGTACACGCTCATGAAGCCAGCCAAGAATCAAAGTCTTTGGTCATGGATATGGATATAAACACTGGAATTCTGCTCTCTAGCAACTGCAAGGAAAGAGGAGAACTACACATTTCAGAGAAGGAAGAGAACTGAAACAAGATCATTTCCATTATGGGAATAGAGAAAAGGTTTCAGGTGGATGATCCAGGGAAACTCCCAGGAGAAAGAGGTATCTGAACTAGGAAGAGGTAAAGGTTTGCCAATGTCTGACAATTTCTATTTATCCTCTAAAACTTGCCCTCACTTTGAATCAATTAAACCAACTCCTACTCCAAATACATATTTTATCATAATTACCTTCATATGCTGCACATGTAGCTTTTAAATTTAAAGAATAGAAAGGACTTTGAGTCTTTGCTTGCACTAATTAGACACACCTGTTCCAATTTACCTGCAAGTTTTACACCAGCGGTCCTCAACCTCTTTGGGGGTCGAATGAGAGTCACCTAAGACCATCAGAAACCATATATTTCCAATGGTCTTAGGAACCGAGACACCACTCCGCTATCTCTCTCCAGCAGGGTCAGCTCACATGCAGATACGCCCACTTAGGAGTACCCAGTGTGATGACTGTTACCCATGCTACACCATGCTTCAAGACAAAATTACATTTATTTGTAATTGGAAATAAATATTTCCCAATATATAATCACATATTGTTTTTGTGATTAATCACTATGCTTTAATTATGCTCAATTTGTAACAGTGAAAATACATCCTGCATATCAGATATTTACATTACGATTCCTAACAGTAGCAAAATTATATACAGTGATGAAGTAACAATGAAAATAATTTTATGGTTGGGGTCGTATTAAAAGGTCGCGGCATGAGGAAGGTTGAGAACTACTGGTCTACACACCTTGGAACAGATCCCATTTGTAACCCCTCTCTCACCAAAGGATCAGTATTGATTGACACAACAGAAAACATATTGCTGGACATTGGTTGTAGGAAGGTCATACAAAAAAACAAAACAGTCCTTCGAAAATCTGTTTTAATAGGCTTATGCTGGGGTTATGGGGATGATCCAGGTTTAAGCAAAACTAAAGAAGAAGATCAAACTAATGGAACTAAAATCGGTTTAGGATTGCTTTCCATTTCTTCAAGAATCTGTTTTTGGCCCACCAATCCCAGGCTGAGCAAAACTGATATCCTGGACTCCTGGGCTCCTGAGTGTTGGCTCCAGTGACGGATTCTTGCATGTTGGGAGCAAGAACATTCCAGCTTGACCTGTGGGAGAAGAGGAAAAGGACTTTGACTTAAGCAAAAAGAAATCAGGGGAAGGAGGGAAAAAGAGAGAAAGAAAAGAAGAACCAGTAAAGCAGAGGCTGGAGAAGACAAGGCTTACCTAAGCCTTTGAAATGAAAACGCAAGGGCGGTGAGTGCGATCGCTGTGACTATGGCAGTCAGACACGTCACTCTCTGGAACATGGAGGAGCCTTCTGGTTGGGGGGAAATGTGGACGCAGTTTTAAGAGCTCAACTTTCAATTCCTGCTGAGTCTATTGTTGATCTCTTTCTGCCCAGCCACAAGGCCCTTCGAGTATCTCTCAGTAGTACTTCTAATCCCCCACCAGCTTTCCTTGAAATGTAGCTGCCATCATTCTCTATCTTTCATTATCTGGCATCTCCCACCCTTATTTTTCTTTTGCCTAACAATCCTGCATTCAAAAGCTCTAGTGATATCTTCCATCTTTTCCATTCTGCACCCAGTTCATTCTCACCCCAGTAGATGATTATATCATGGCCTCCTAGACTGCTGTGCTTCACTTGACAGGACAGGCCAGCTGCTTCCCCAGTTGCCACATCCAAAGTTACTTGGAGATACCAGGTCTCATCAGCATTGGGCAGGACATCACCTCGCCGAGTGCCATGCTGCTCCTGTTTCCCCCGCATCCACATCACCCACACTGGTTTCGGATGGAAGCCAGCCAGATGACATACCAGTGTCAGACGGCCAGGACCAGGAGTGGGACCTTTGGACACCCAAACTTCTGGCTTCACTGTAGAGAAATAGAGAGAACTCAAGGAAGGACCCTAGGTCAGAGCTCAAGAACTAAGATTACAATGTGGGTAATCAACTTTTCCCCTTGTCTATATGGGACCTAAACCCACACATCCCATTTTTTAGATTCTCATCATAAATTTCAAAAGGATGATGAGAACTGGAAAGCTCAAATATAAGAGTTAAAGCATTCGGGGTAGAAGGAAAGAGAGTCTACCTTACCTTGCCGTTCCAGTTCTGCCTTCCCTGCCTTGAGGAGGCTTGCCAGGAATCGAGGGCAGGTGTCACTGAGAAGGTTCTGCACTATTTCCTTAATGTCTAGGTACTTGTTTAGCACCCTGCAGACTTTCTGGGCCTGACTCCCGGCTCCTGGAGATGGCAGCCAGGAATTTCCTTGGAAACTCAGGAAATCTGTTCCTTGATAAGCCCCATTTAAGAAGCTTTCTGACGGCTTCCCAACATGCATGCTACAGCCTGCTGATATTTGAAGCTCAAAGGGATCTGGAAAGACATGAGGGAGGAGAAAACAAAGATGGAAATAATTACAGAGAAGAGAGGTAAACAATTAAGATAATAAAAGGATTCAAAGGAAGGAAATTTTTCTGAAGAATTATAATGGGAGACTAGAGTTGGGGTGGAAAGGGGGAAGAAATTTGCAAGAAAATAATTCAAAGATAGCACAGATATTTTAAGATAATTCATAGAAAAGGGATAGGTAGGGGGGTTGTTAGGAAGACAGAAAACTAGTAGAAAAGAGAAATTGCTTGTGATGATTAGACACCGGCCCAGTCATGTGACCACTAGGACAATGGAGAAAGGAAGGCAGATATCTGGCTAGCAGTCTGAGAGCACTGACAATCCTTCTGAGGAACCACACTTGAGGGTATGTTCATAAAAGTGAAAAATCTATGTGCAAGAAGGCCCTCCTCTGCCTACAGAGAAAATAAACCAAACTCACTGCCATTGAATCAACATCAACTCATAGCCACCCTATAGGAGAGGGTAGAATTTCCCCTGTGAGTTTCTGGGACTATGACTCTTTACAGGAATAGAAAGCACTGTCTTCCTCCCAAAGAGCAGCTTGTGGTTTCAAACTGCTGACCTTGGGTAACCACTGTGTATTACCCAATGTGTAACCGCTAAACCCCAAGGCTCCTCAATAGAGAAGATAGGGCAAAATAAAAACAGGCACGGCTGACAAGGTATAAGATCAGGCCAATTAAGTCATAATCAGAGCCCATATGCCATCTTCCCCTTTCCCATACGGTTGGAGCCCTCAGGTAAAACAATGATCAGAGAACAGTGAACTCACATTCAAACTGAAATTGGCTGGCATATGCTTGTACTTCTCGGATGAAACCATGAAAGTACAACTGGAATAACGACTGGATGTTCTTCAGCTCCTCCGTGCTGAAGTTACCCCTAGACCAGGTCCTCAGATAGCGGATAGTGTCCAACACCTTGTCCCAGCCATGTGTCTGCACTTCGCCCAGCCAGCCTGAGCCCTGGGTGTATGCCCAGCTGTTGTTTACGAAGGAGGAGCTCTGAAGGAAGTGGAAGACAGGGACCTCCTCTGCTGCTGCATGAAGGGGTCCTGAGTTCCGGGGCTCTGAGAGAGGATGATAAACAGAAAGAGTGTCAGAGGATGGAAGGACGGGGAACCCAGAGAGGAAAGGGGAGACAGAGCTTAACAGGTTGCAGGTATTCGAATACTCATTTCCTACAGGCCAAGTTCTTCTCCCCAGAATCACACAGAGACACTGAGACAAGGGCAAGGATTTACCACTGGAACTAGCCTAGAATGCAACTCCAAGGGCATTCTATAGACTACTGTTCCTTGTGTGACCACAACCACCCCAGTGTTGCTTCTCTGTTCACTTGTGCCCCAACCACAGGTATTTCTCCACCTGAGGACTTCTTACCCTGTATGCCTTCCCCAGGGCAGAAGAGTCCCTTGAAGATCAGGAGCAGCAGAAGCAGCATTGAGATTCTGAGTCAGAGGGTAGACAAGCTACCTACCCTCACACTTCACATAGCAGCTCCACTCCAACTGCAGACAAACCTCTCCTGCCCACATCCCTTTCAAAGAAGCTAGACTACCTCCCTCAGCCACAAGCCTCCCACAGGGTTTCTCATTTCCCCTCCAGCCCTCCTTATGCTGCCCTTCTACCATCGCCCCGCCCATCACCATTGCTCCCAAGGATCTTGACTTCCAAATATTCCCCCTGCTCCATCTGTGCCCTCCTCTCCCCAGCCTGTGGTCTGACTGGAAAATTTAGAAGCTTTTGGCGATAGGGACACGCAGTCTGCACGTGGGTTTTCAATGCCATTGCTAACTAGTCAGAGGTGGTGATAAATGGAGGGAAACTGGCAGGAATCTTAAACATAAAAGAGGTGGAGACATGCACACACCTCACCAGCACAAAGGAAGGTGAAGGGCAGACTAGAATCCATTTCCTTATTAATGGAAGAGAGCAGAGCTATTGGAGAGACTGAAATGACTGGGGGAAGAAAGACAGGATGTTCATACAGTCCAAAAGATTGAATAGGCTCCTAAGTTTGGGGTATAAGACAAGAGCACAGCATGATGTCAGGTTGATACGGTGCCAGAAAATGCTTGCCTGAAAGGACAAGGGATACTATAGAGGACCAGATAATAGCAAAGGACTCACCAGAAAGCCAGACAATGGTGGGAAGTCTGCCATTAGAAGAATATAAGGTCCTGCTTTACATTTTGTGGAGCCTTTTAGATCAGCTAAGATCCCTTTAGACTTCTTTTCCAACATAACAATTTATAAATTATCAAGGGCTCATGAGGGAGGGTGGAGTGGGGAGGGAGGGGAAAAATGAGGACCTAATGCCGGGGGCTTAAGTGGAGAGGAAATATTTTGAGAATGATGAGGGCAATGAATGTACAAATGCGTTTTACACAATTGATGTATGTATGGATTGTGATAAGAGTTGTATGAGCCCCTAATAAAACGATTTAATGAAAAAAGAAGAAAGAAAGATATAAGATGAAGGACAAAATTGAGAGCAGAATCAGAGAAGAGGGTTGAACAGAAAGGGTGAGTTTATTGAAGGGGATACTTTGGGGAAAAAGACCCTTAGCTAGTCTAACAGGCCTGGTAGAATGTAGAACCAAACCTTTTATTCTATTAATGGCGGACCTCCCACCATTGTCTGGCTTTGGTGGGTCTTCTGCTATTGTCTGGCCCTAGGTAATGTACCTCCTTTTTCCAGGCATGTGCATCCCTATACCGCAAACTTCATGCTGTGCCCTTGTCTCCAGACTCCAAAACCCAAGACTATTCAGCCATAGTGGGAGCAGAGTGAAAATCCTGTCTTTCTCTACCCACTCTCTGGTCTCCTCCTTTGATATGGAAATGTGACTTGCATGCCCTCACCTCCTTTGGGCTGGAGAGGTGTGTGGGGAAACACGTCTCCACTTTTCCTTTGCTTTGCACTCCTGCCAGATTCCTGCCGTCACCCCCTTTCTTCTCTTTGCCCATCTCTGTCTAGCTAACACTCCTATGGACCATTCTGACTGTACTTCTTCCAGGACAATTTGTTTGCTCTTCTTTCTCCACGATATATGCAATATTTCTCATCAACAACAAAATTCAAGGGCACCAATTCTTTCTCAGTCTTCCCTATTGATTTCCCAACTTTCACATGCATATGAGGTGACTGAAAATACTATGATTTGCTTCAGGCATGCCTGTCTTCAAAATAGTATCTTTTCTGATTTTGTTACAGTACATTTGTCAAATGCAGTATGTCATTTGGTTTCTTAACTGTAAAATGAAACTTTTGACATTAATATGTTCTCCATTTTTCATGATGTAGCTTATTGCTCCAGTTGTGAGGGATTTTGTTTTCTTTGTGTTGAGATGTAATCCATATTTGTATCCAGATCCAAAGACTGTTTTCTGATCTTCCTCAGTAAGTGCTTCACAAGGAACTATATGTGACCTCCTCCCTGGGGGACAGACAACAGAGAAGTGAGTGGAGGGAGACGTTGGACAGGGCAAGATATGACAAAGTAATATTTTATAAATTATCAAGGGCTCATGAGGGAGGGGGCGGGAAGGGAGGGGGGAAATGAGGACCTAATGCGGGGGCTTAAGTGGAGAGGAAATGTTTTGAGAATGATGAGGGCAATGAATGTACAAATGCGCTTTACACAATTGATGTGTGTATGGATTGTGATAAGAGTTGTATGAACCCCTAATAAAATGATTTTTTTTAAAAAGAAAAAAATCTTACGTCCTCTCTCTCTCTCTCTCTCTTTCTCTCTCTCTCTCTCACACACACACACACACACACACACACATACACACACACACACACACACATTCTATGTAGTTCAGTTTTACTTCAATGAATATGGGGTGCACCATTACTCAGAATTGAATCAATGTCAAATTTACTGGTTAATTAATTAATACATTGGTTTTACTGAGTGTTTGCCTTCAGGACCACTTGGCCCTATTAGGGTAACCCAAATACTTCTTTCTTAGCAGAATGACATGTTTATCTGGGTCAAGGTTCCAGCCTGGGAACATGCTCTATACTCAGAAGAGAAGCAAAGCAAGACTAAAGAAAGTGGACTCCCAACTTCAGCACTTCCTTTATTCTTGCTAGAAATTGCATGATCAATCACAGCACAGAAAGACCAGGGGCTATTTTGAGTGATAGCCTCTTATTTCTTCAGAAATTTCAAGTAGATTTAACATATTTACTTTGCATTTTATTTTTAAATAATAAAAGCAGCAAATGCTGTGTATTTTTGAAGAGGGTAGTTGCCTTACTACATAGTAAGACATACTGAAGAGTCAGTCTTAAAATAGTTACTAGACCTATTGTTAGGTAAACTAGCATAGGGCTGGGGAATGTCCGTTAACGTATGCCCAGAGGGCCAAGCTACGGGAACAAAGGAGTGGTGCACTGCACATGCCCAGAGGCTCAGGTTTCCCCGCAGGGCAGGCATGGGTGGGCGTGAACCTGAATTGGCCCACCTAGGCCAGGTGAATTCAATTCAGCCAATGGAGTAGATCAGAGGTCGTCCACCACGCCTCCCCATGGAATCCTTGAAAAGGCAGGAGCAGGGAGAACTTAGAGACACTTTTGCGTGATGCCAAGCAGTTTCCAGACAAGCTGTATGCTTGGGAGGAGCTCCTCGGGTGCCGTGTAGACCTGAAATTTCTTCTAACTCTCATAAAGCTCACTTGGATCACGAGCCAGGCTTTGGCGTGAATTCTTTCTCACACAGAGTCAAGGACCAAGGTATACATCTAGCTACAGAGAGATCTAACACTATGAAGTAGTATGCATAGGAACATATGACACAAGTGTGTGTTGACACTTAAAGATCAACGGGGGAAAGTCAAGACAGGAGACTGAAAATGTGCCACAATTATGAAAGGTTTTTTGTGCCAATTTGAGGAACCACCCTTTGTTTTTCAAGCAAGAGAAGAACTTTAAGAATGAGTGTGATGTGGTTAAACTGGCATTTAGAAAAATTCCCTAAATAACCATAGTATTCCTCAGAAAGTGTATCCAGTAATGAGACCAGGAAGGGAGGTGTATTTCTGGGCCTGACAAGGGGCAGTGAGAATGGAGAGGAGTGAAGATTACAGGGCTAACCTGGAGGACTCAGGATGAGTCAAACAAAGCAGTGTAACCAGGAAGAAATAAAATGTTGACTTTGACAAAAGTAGAGAATACAAATTTTGGATGGAGAGGTTGGATGCATAGTACAGTTTAAGTAATGCTGGGATTGAGGTTACACATGCGTGCCGATTGACAGGGATACATAGAATCATTCACGATAGTCTTCTAAAGCTCCTGGATTGTCTGAAGGTCTGCTTGCCCCCCTCAGTGTTAACAACTTATGCAGCTGAGAATTTTACCTTTACCATTTTTTTTTTTTTTTGCAATAAGATTGCTGTTGTTTAGAAGATGTCCTTGGGCTTGTGGGATCCCAGACACCCCATCAAAAAATGTTGTTGTTGTGTTGATATGGAATTTTTTTCTGACTCTTGGGGACAGCAGGTGCTACAGAGGAAAACTGCTCCATGGGGATTTCTGGGCTATAATCTTTGTAAAAGAAGAGGCTAGTCCTTCATTTCATGGCACCACAGGGTGGTCCATACTGCCAACCTTTAGGTTCGTAGTTATGCGCACTCAACAGAAAGCAAAGAGAATCCTAGCTCCTTGTCATCCTTGGCTAAATACGAAGCCTTGTATGCATTCACAGGAGGCACACAAAATTGAAGCTCAGAGTAAAAGTCTGGATGAACTTGTAGACTGCCTGATTTTAAAACCTATTGTCCAACTCCAGCCAAGATCTAATCCATACAGGGTGGAAACCTTAGGGAGTCAAAATGTTTCAGCACAACATCTGACCAATCATAGGGTGACTACTAAGCTATACTGACACAAGGGTGATCCTTTTAAAAGAGGAATAAATGCAAAATTTAATTTTAAAAAATTAGCACAGACAGCAGCATTCATTACATTGTGAGGGAGTCAAACTCTACAAAAGTAGTCCAAGCAATTTGATAAACAAACAATTAGAGGTCAAAACAACAACATTCCAGGGAGGCGGGGGTGTATGAATCAATATATTATTTGAAATGTCCATATTTCAACAATAAAATTGTAAGGCACAGAAAGAAGTCATAAAGCATGACTTCTACACAAAAGAATAAGTCAAAATAAACTGGTTTTGACATTGTTTAAATATGAGACTTAACACAGAGAGACTTTAAAGAAACTATTAAATATGCTCAAATAGTAAAGGAAACCATGTTTGAGAATTAAGAGAAATATTACTTTTGATTACACATGGCTGCTTGCTAAAAAGTCTGATGATCTACTTCCAAAATCTCACCCATTGAAAACCCTGTGGAGTGCAATTCTGCTGATACACATGCTGATGCACATGGAGTCTCCATCAGTCAGAATCAACTCGATAG